TTATCGGAAAAATATTGAATCTGGAATTTCGAGTTTTATTCAGACTTACTTTTCCGGATAATTGGATAAAGTATTCACCGAGATGGTATCATCGAAAATTCATCCTCCTCGCTTGGAATTTCTTGTCGAGTTCTTATTTCGACCGGCTCGACGATCTTGGAGGATGCCAGACGTCGGGACGCTCTCAACCCCTGGCAACCAACGTCTATAAATACATGTTCGTTATTTTGCTTCTGTTTACCTGTAATTTCGCTTGAGCGAATCGCGCGAAACGACATTGAGACGGATTTTACACCACATGGACCATCGTTCCATTGCCACCGTTCAGAGGGAGAATCGTAGCTCTCGCTGCAAAAGCAGAAAGTAAAAGCGAAATCGAAATAAAGGGCGAGGATACGTTGAAAGACTGAAGGGAGTCGCATGCGTACGGGTTACCAAACATCAATGGGACTTCGGTTCGCCACTAAATGCAAAGAGGGTTTCAGTGCAGAGTGGAATGTGAAATGTGAAACGTAAAACGCAGAGTCGTTTGACGTCCTCGCGGACAGCAGACGATCCATTAGGGATTGCAACAGGCAATACGAGCACAGGCTGAACTCTTTTTTCTTCCTTCGAGACTTTGACTTTGCTCCAAGAGGTCCTTCAGGATTTCCCCAGGTAGACCCGGTGTCTCCGTCTGCAGGAGCCTACCGCAGGAATTTCCGTTCCCTTTCACTTTCAATAACCTTTTAAAGAAATTTTACTAAATTTCCAGAAAGTGAAAAGCTCTTTGCCCCACATTATTATTATGAATTCATTACGTTCTTGGCTCTCGGTCGCTCTTCCAGCCGAGGCCCTCTCTCTCTCCTTCTCTCGCCCTCGGGAGCTCGTACGCTCTATCTGGGTTCGTAGGTCGTTTCCCCTACTGTTTCCACACGCACGAGTAGACTCGAATGCAGCACCTGAGTGACTGCATCAAATCTCTCATCAGCCACGCGAGGTTAACTCGCCGGTTGGTTCGGCTCACTCGGGTCGCTCGGGTCCCTCGTTCGCCAGAGCGAAGGGTTGCGCCAAACGCGTAACCTGCTTTATTTGACAACACATAGAGAGACGGAATTACAAGGGTGTTCAACAGAATGAATTACGTCCCTTGGCCACGAGAGGGTACCTTTGCCCTGGATTGGTTGCCTCCGCTGGAAATTTGCAATATTTTAATTTCTACCCCGTTACGTCCGTACTCTGGATATCGTTACGATGGGGTCTGTCTTTCGCATTTCTGGAATAGGTTTGAAGCTCGTCAGGGTTAAGGGTCAAGGATCCGTAGTAACACACGGAAGGATCCTTCTTCCTGGTACGTTTGTCAGCTCGACGGTTCCTCTGTTCCTGGTCCTCCGGGAACTCATGGAATCGATAGGTGCACATGCGCACGAGGCATCAGTACCTCGGCTCGCGTTCGCACCAGCGGACCAGCACCACGCTGTATCCTTCGTTCGCCGAACAGCATCCAGTTATCGGGGATACGAGTAGTCGAGTGCTCGAGAGAGCGTTTCCTGGTAGTGGGATTCTTCCGTGCGCCGCCGGTTTGTCCGGGAACTTCTGGCTGTCCGAAGGCAGTTGGTTAATATTTCGTGTGAATTTCATGAATAATAAAATACATTCATTTACATGTTTTTGATTATTAGACATTTATTCAGTGGAGAATTTGATCTTGAATATATGTCATTAAAGTCACTTGACAAGAATTTCATGAAAATTCTTATCGATTGGAAATGTTTGGCATTTTCATACTCCGATCGTCGGAATGAACTTAATGCTGTGCTTAACCGTTGGGACTTTTTCGAATTTTCATATTTTTCCCGTATTTCCGTGATCTCATTGGCTAGTACGTGCGCGTGTGTGGCAGTATTCTCTATCGGGAGGAAGAAAACTTTCTAAGCTGCTTTTAGTCGCTGATTGCGAGTATTCTTGTAGCTGGTGGAGGATCGCGCTAAGGAAAGATAGGAATGAATTTTTCAAAATTTTCAAACATCTCCTTTGAGAGTTTTTACCAGAGTTTTAAATATATTTTGGATTTCTGGTATATTTGTTGTTGACGAAATTTCCAATTTTATTGCTCAAGTTGCTAGGATTGTTATAATTTTTTTGTTGTGTATATTCTATCCAACACGACCGTCGAGTCGAAAAAACTAGTCAAATAAGAATTAAGACAATTAAAAATCCCGTCCGCGAAACACAGGCGTAGAATTGAGTCGTCCTTGTAAATAAAAACGCCGATCGACTCCGCCGTCGCAATCAGGAAAATTGACGCAGCGATGCGGAGGGAGTCTGGAAGGTAATCGCAGCAGTTGGTATTGAAAATCCGGCCAAATGGACAAGCTATTCCGTTGGAAAAGCCACAAGACCCAGGAAGACGTAAGTATCTATGCCATGACGTAACGGGTTGTGAATTTGCATTTGATTATGCAAAGCGAGCTTAGCCGCTTAGCAATTCATAAAGCTTGAAGGACCCGAACGAGGTAGGGGGGTAGGGGAAGGAGGAGGAGCGACAGAGGGGAGAGTGAGAGAGAAGGGAAATAAAACGATCTAAAAGATCGAAGAGAGCCGATTAGAGCAACCTGCTGGAAATGGCTGTTTCGGGGGCACCTGTCTAAAATGCAAAAAAAAAAAAATTGGTAGCAGGTGAGCCCGAAATTTTAAGCAACACAGCGAATCTACTGACTGACTTTTACTTTATTATTTCTACTTTTGCTCTACTTTCAATCTCTCTTTTACTTCCCCCTACGTATCTCCAATTGTTCAATCTCATAATTCGTATTTGAAATTCCCGCTCTTTCAGTCCTTTCCATCTTATACAAAAAAACCTTAAAAATTTCTAATAAAGTTTTCACTACGACCTAACACTGATGACTATCCTAGAGATTCACCGCAATTGTCTATTATACAGATATGTTTCCTTCACCCTCATCAACCCTTGTCCCGGCTCCATAAGTCACATAAGTGATAGGCCATACGTATCCTCCCCATTTGCTGAAATGCGTAAAAGCCTCTTCCTGTCTGTCTGACAATGCACCGGAAGAAGAAGAAGCATGAGCAAGGGACGGTAGTATAAGGGTGGCATGCCTGTTCGAGACGAGGGAAGATTTCGCTCGAGGAATCGATGTAGTCAAACCTCCCACCAGATCCGTCTCTTATTCAAAAGCGACTGAAGTAGAAGTTGCTACCCTTAAAGTGAATTGCTCCTCGCCACACCCCCCTCAGTAGATCCCACCACGAGAAAGCTTCAAAGTTGCCGCGATCAGTTCACAAGGGGGTGTTGGACGTTTCAAGATTCGCAGGTGGCGTAAAATGGTGCCTTGTCTGGAAGAGGGTGAGTGCCAACCCCCCAGCGGCACCTAGTTCGCATCAGCAGAGCGAAACATTGGTCCAGGCTGTTTCTCGATGGAAGGATCTGACGATGGAAGAAGATGAGCTCAGGGGTGAACCGGAAGGGGTGGTTCCCGAGGGTAGTCAGGTGATGGCTCGCGAGCCTCTCTGCGGAAGTAAACTCTCTCTCTCCTCTTCGCCCCTAACTGAACTCGACTCTGGCCTCTTTATTCGCACGAGTCTCACACGTGGCCACGTATGCGCGAGACGAGTAGGGGGACGAAAAGGCTTTGAGTTTGGATGAAAAATTCAGAGCAAACGCCGCGCGCACCAGGTCGGGAAAGGGCACGCGGGCATCTTCTTCTTTCCGAAAGAGATGGAGAGCGACAGAGCGGCCGAGTGAAGGAGGGACGGAGCTACGTACGTAGAACGCGAACAAGCAAGAGGGCAGCTAGTGTATCCGACTCCGAAGACTTATTCGCATTTACTCTTACTCCTGCGTCCGGTATATTCACTTGGCCTGTATGCCCTTCGTAAACAACCCCATGGGGATTTTTAAACGGGACTTATGGCCGATCAAGATCGAGGGAGGTCGCGTTACAGGAAGACTTCGGGCTTTATCGGCTGCAATCTGATTGTTCTGCCTGCCGGCTTATTACTCCTACTCGACTCTGCATTCTCTCGCCTCACTCACCTACGTTCTCAGCTGCTGATTTTATTCTTTTGCATTTTTCTTTATTACATGTATATCCCCGTATAACAGTTCTCCAGTCTATCCATTTGTTCCTCCAGTCTCTTGCGTAACTGATACCGTGGGTGGTTCTGGGTATCTAAGCAGAGCTCAAGACTTGGAACAGGTTAGAAATTTCTACTCGTGATCTTCCTTCGTATGCACGTTGACTTTATTGAGTCGCTGCTGACTGCTGGCAGCTAGTATCTGCTTGGCAGCGTGTAGTGGCGGTTTTAAGCTGTAGGTGGCAGGTCGTATGTGATATGTGATACGTAGTGGTTGCCATGGCGTAAGACTGGTAAGAGTACGCGAGCCCTGCCTGATTAGCTGCTCGACTGACACGCCTGATCGAACAACCAGCCTATCCTATTATTTACGGCTAATGGAGGCAAATGCGGAAACATCCCCCCTTCGGCCCCTCTCAACCCTTTCCTTAGTCTAGTGTTTAGAGTCTGTCGCCTTGAGTTTCTCGTCAGAATTATGTACTCGACTAATCGGGGGAAAAGACGAGGAAAATATTTGGAAAGAAGTGGGAGGGGGTGGTTCTTATCTCGAGTGATAACGTTCAATATTTTTTTATATTTTATGGGGCTTGAATTTTGAACTATTCGGTATTGCCAGTATTCGATGGCTACGACGCTTAAGGGTATGCTCGCTTTAGTTCGTTAAAGAGGAAAATTGCGGGATTCAGTTTATAAGGGATTTTGGTAAGGATAAATTTAAATTGGGCGAGGGCGTGTTTTCTTAGAAATTGAGAAAATTTTTTTTTGGGATACTATTTTTAGGAAGACCTACTTTGTTAATTAGGAGTAGTTGGCCAATTAGGTAGACTGGTTGGTTTATGTATGGGATGACGTATTTATAATGCACAGCATCTGTCCTGTCATTCGTTCAGACAATAATCTTATTTTGGTTTGATCTTTTTTAGGGTCTGGATAACGTGAGCTCAGCGACGCTCAGGCCGTTCAATTCGGACATCAATACACCGAGGATCGACAGCTACAGATTTTCCATGGCGAATCTCGAAGGTGAGTTTTGATTTTTCGTACCAGCAAAGTGTTATTTTTCTTACGCTTGTCCTTTCCTTCTTTGATTTCCTCATTTCTCGGGCGAATTAGTTTTTTGCTGCGCTTACGGAAGTCATTCGACCGTCTTTTCCCTCGTTATTTCCTGCCGCGCGTTCTACCCTTCTGCGGCCACATGAAAGAGCACCCTTAATACACATTTCTTAAGGGACCCCTCCTACGGAGGCCCGCGAAACTTCCGTAGACGAAAGCCTGACTACGGAAGGGTAGAAAGTTTTTGACTGATTTGCCGCAGATTGCTCCGCGATTTTTCCTTTTATTTTCTCTACCGATTCCTCCTCTTATATTTCGGCTTCCTTCCGGTCGCTTTCTTCCGAAACGCCGTTCCTTTCGCATTCTCCGCACAATCGGTCTTCGCCCAATTGGCCTGTCCAGAAATTAACCCTGTTTCCTTTTTCCGGAATTCCATTAGCTACCCCCACTCCCCTCTTCCTGAACAAATTTACAAAATTAAGTAATCAAATTTTCTTACGAGACTCCAATCACGGTTCGATCAGTCCCACGTCAGACGTCACCGTCTCAGCCGACTGTCATCGGAAGTCAGCTAAGTCCCCGCGCGAGGAGCCGAAGGAGCTGTCAGTTGTCACTGTCAGTTTGACAGCCGATAAACAGCTGATCGGCAGTCACCGTTGAGACACAATAACATTCGGACATGTAACATTGAATAAACGTTACAGGCACTTTCGTGCGAATATCTTGAACAATATAACATGCCTCGTAACCGACGCGCATTTTCGCTCAGGCGTAAAAATATGATAAATGAAAAATAAATTTGAAAAAACGAATTATCATCCCCTCCCCCCTCTCGATTTAAGCGTCGCGACGCGACGACTTTCGTTTTGCACGAGGCGTCCAGGCGTATGCCGTAAAAATATCTGGCATAAAGAAAAATCCGTGGCTGGCAATTTTTTATGATGAACCAGCACTTCTGACAAGTTGTCAACGCGCATGCGCCGTTCAATCCGATCGTTCGCTTAATCGACGTGCCTCTCGTTAAATTAACGAGCTCTGATCTCTGGTCATTGAGTGGGACAAGTAAAGTGGAAAAAAAAAAATATAAGCAAAGTCATTGCATAAATTTAATGTGAATTCGCCATTAGGTTGTGAACCATGCCGTACGGTTGGATCGATCGTAATAATATTGAATTTTTGAAAATTCCTCGTATCATTAATTTGCGTCGTAGTAATTTCTTTTTTCATTATAAGACTACTGTAGTCATTATGGTCTAATATATATGTATATGCAGGTGAGTCAGGACAACGTTAGCCGGTCGCTGGTACGACTCGCGATTGTAGGCCGCCTTTATCTGATATCTATGAACCAGCTCTGGCTGGGATAGGAAAAAAGGGCAGCTTTCACGTCGTATCAGGGGATTTATGCTTGGCGATGCCGAAAGGAAGCAGCGTCGCTACGTTCCTGCTGTTTTCTCTGTGCTCTCGCAGTTGAGCGTCGATAATCTCTCTCCTTGGTACCCGACGCCCAGCGCCGCGTCGTCGTGCTCTCGTGACCGCTCTTTTGCACTTTGTTCGGCACCGGCATCCACTGTACTGGCGTCCCTACGACACGTGCAGGGTGTCCCGAATGTTTTACAGACTATTCAGTACTCGAACCAGACGCAGCTTTGGCACGTCTTGACGTCGCGACGCCCTGCGGCTCGACTCCTGTAATCCGATTGGCCCGCGACCTGAGCGCGGAATTTGAAGCTCGATGAAATTTATCTGCAAATATTATATGAAATATTTGCCAAAAGAAAAAAGAAAAAAAAAATGGAAAAATTACACGCGACTTATCCGCAAGCTGACTTTGAAATTCACGGTCGTTTTTGGCGATTTATGAAATTACGACGGAAACGTAATTTCGGAATGACGCAACGACCCACTTCCGTTTCCGGGACACATGAAAATGCCGCGTGTCGCGTGTCCTACCACGCGTCGTTACGTGGACGTTGGGCCTGAGAGAAAATTAGGCACGTAGAAGTCGCGTGGGAAAAAGAGGGTCCACGTGCGAGAGGAGGTGAAAGGGGTTAGGGGTGAAAGGTGAATTAAATCAATCATCTCCTTTGGTACTCAAGTATCTCTGACGGCTGTTTAAAGTCCTCGACTTGATTCTATAGAATTTTTATGACGTAAAAAAAAGGGGGTGAACCTCGAAAATCCTTATAAAGTCTCGCTGATAACGGCGCCCATTCCATACCGGAACTTATAGCTTCCTCTATAGCAAAACGTGTCTTATCAGGATGCGCCCAGAACCTGCGCAATAGACTATTGACATATGACTGTTAGACTGTAGTAAAACACACACGTGGGGACGCACTGATAACAATATTCATACGGAAATGAACTTTCACGACCAGTCTGCAAAGAACATGCATACCCTTTATCAGCTTTAGCATTTATATATTTTTTGTATCTTTCCTTCTTTTTTTTCAAAATAATAATAAATCCCATCGTAATTATCGCAATCGACAATAAATCTCCTTATCAATATGTTTCACTGTAGATAACGTGAGGATTCGTTGCCCAAGTTTAATTGAGTCGGCAGTGACTCGCGGATCCCTCATAATTGAACGTTAAACCTTACGGTTAACTAAAATGATGCGTGACAAGGTCTCTACGCACAGTAGCCAGCACGCACGTCTATACCTATATATTAGTACGCAGCAGAGTGCGTAACGAACGAGATAGAAAGAGTCGAGCATTATAATACAGTAAAAACCGGAAAAACGAGGAGAAGAAAAAAGTCAACAAAAGTAAGCGTGTAGAGTTAGGAGTTACGTACGTGTATGTATATATATATATATATATATATATATATATATATATATATATATATATTGTACTTGAAGAGAGCCGCCGACCCGGTAGACTGGCTATCGTACGGTGTACGAACCCACCTACGTAACATACGTCGTACGTACGCGCATACAACGTACGTTATTATAGAGTTGAGAGAAGTCGAGTAGAATTGGCCAGGGAAAGTGATAGAATGCAACTATTAATACGCCTTACGTATAATCGCGCAGAGCCAATGAATTAGCATGTTTTATATTCGCCATTAAATACGTAATATTGATGACGAGACTTATTCTTGTTCCGCCGTAGCCTTCCGAGTATCGTTAATAGTCGTTGGATTCTATTTTTTTTTCAATTTTTCTTCATTCTTTCACGAGAACGATAACCCTGCTGCCAGAGTGCGAATCGGTTCGCGGATTAGCGAACGTTCACCCCTTCTGGGCATTGTAATCGCAGGCTTTCGCAATGGTCTATCTATCTCTATTGCACTGTGTACATTTTTCTCTCTCTCTCTCTCTCTCTCTCTCTCTCTCTTACTATATATTATATATACGCGCTGGCATAGTTGCACTCTACTGCACTCTAGTATCGCGCTTGACTGTTCTCTTCTATTCTCTAGGAGGCTGCTGCATTGCGTCAGCAGGCGGTGCACGTGCAGCTGGTTACTCTTGCAGGGCTGCCTGCTCGCAGCTTCCCGTGGACCTGTAAGCTCATCGCGCTAACAAAAGCCGATAGCTTATTCGCGATCTGCCTCAGGCTCCGCTTCTTAGCCTCTCAGGCTGAAATGGCTCGATTCGCGCTTGAAGGGAAACCATTACACCCGTGTACACGTGATGCGCCTAAGCACGTAGCGGCCGAGCTAAGATCTTCCGGCAGAACGGGGGCTGATGGCGGGACGGAGATTCATCGTATTAGTTGGAACGAATTTCACTAGATTGCGCGGAACAATGAATTCATTTCTCTTATTTAATGTACGTGGACGGCAACTGCCACGCCCGCTCATAATATTCCTATTTAAAGTCGGCCCCGTTTCCTGGGTTGCTCTCTTTGCTCGAGCACCAGTACTTCCCCGGCAGCCTTCTACCTTTGTTATTATTCCTTCTCTGGATATTTACTCGGCTCTTTACCTTTTCATCTTTCTTCATAAATTAGTCTCTGACAAATTTATCAGACTAGCCAATTCTCGCTGGGAGAAAAACTATCGCGGAAATTAATCAAAATTTTGAGATCCTGTCTGTGTTTCTTGAAGTTGATTCAGTTGAAGGTCAATGGCCATCTGGTGATCGACCGACGAACTACTGGTGAATTACTGACCAAATGGGTAAAGGCTACCCCTAGTATATCCTTGTTACAGGATGCGAAATGGGGATTATTTAGTTATGAGGGGTCCGTATGTAAGTTCAGATCTGAACTGTTTTTTGTTTTGATTCTAAATTATTATTGACGGGAGATTATCGTGTTTGATGATCTTTCGAAATTCTTCTAAAAATCGTGTAATGGGACACTCGTGTGCGCAACGCGTTCGCATGTGTCGCCCGGCTAAATGGAACTAGGGTCAATGCGTGACCAAGGGCGTGGCTCGTTAGTTAATTAAACAAAGCGTGAGCTAAGGACACGCGTCAATCTCACGCGATACTTGAGATCCGTCCTTCAGCTACGGCTAAGTGCCGTCGTCGTGGTACTCAAAGCGTCGCGACGCACCAAGGCGCGTCCCGCAGGCTTCGAATTCTCCCGGTTCTTTGAGGCCGTATCGCGTACGTTGGCACCCATTGGCTGGAACAGTCAATGTAGTCCGGTCGACGCGCGACAAATTGCGACGATAATTGTAAAGGCGGACATCCATTGTGAACACGTTGGTTTACAAGTCCGCGTATCGACTGCCAATTAAATTCGATCGAGAATTATTGTCCGCTATAAAAACACGACTATGCACTTATATGGGGTCAACGACCGTTATGCATAGCGCATAGTGCATTGCAAATGCGACTTGTGTGCCTATGAAATTATCGTATCTTGTAACGCGTCTTTCTGTCGCTTCGGTGTGAACAGTGCTGTCAACTTCAGACGAATCACCGGACTGGTGAGTTTGTTCACTCTTAGAATTGTTAATTGTCAATTTTTAAACAAATTTTTAATTAGTGTTATCATTTTTTTTACGCTGTTACCAATTAATTCGCATTATTCCGAGGGTTTGACGGAACTTACGGTTATCAAGATGGCGGTACAGTGAGACGACCTGGTTATTCTATAAATAGTAAAATATGAGCAGATCCTTACCAAATTGAGATTACAGCTTAAAGTCGACTTTCCCTAACAAGGAGATCTATTCCCAGTAGTCTCGAGGAGGTTCGGATTAAAATTCTACTCGAGAATAAAAGTTCCGATTCCACTCATTCATCGAGAAAGTTCTCAAGGACTGTCATTTGGCATTTTTCACATTTTTCACGCCGCTCGCCAATCCCTAAGTCTCTCAATGCTACTTGCACCTCAAGGGATCTCCATGCGTCTCACGAAGTCTCACGAAGATACACGAGGTATTACGAAGTTTCAAGTTACTTTGTCAGCCAATCACTATCACTCAATCGCTCAATCACTCCTATTTACTGCTTTCGATTAATCGAGGTTACTTCAATAAGAAGCACATTGCTCCATATACTCGGTATGCGCATGCGCAAACATAAGCAAGCGCAGGGTGAACCCAAACCAATCTGATAATTCAATTGAAATTTCAAGTTTTTTCACTTAACAAACCAACGAGATCCTGTACGATTTATTAGCAAAGTGCGCTTCGTTCTCGAAAGTGCATCGATTCAATTTATCGAATCGTTCGGATCGCCCACGCGTATTCGGATTCACGCAACTCCCGTGTTTGCATAAGTGCATATGGGCGCATGCACATAGCGGCATGGGTGGACACATGCGTTTATCGGTGCCGAGTCTTTCCTGCCAGCTAGAAGGAACGTTCGTGTATAAGTCACGTGTAGCGTTACTGCGGACTCACTTTACAGTTTACACGGACGTGGAAGATTGTATTGGGTCCTTACCTGTGTATTTGCTGACGTACATACGTGTGGAGATTATATCTATATATATTGAGGATATAGTCGCGTACATGCTCTCGGACCAATACCATTAACCTAAAGGCACGTTCACACGCGAGACGGCAGAGACGCGTAGGTACGCGACGCATGGAAAACACGCGAAGCGACCGACTACCTCTAAGGCCTTTAGTCGCTCGCTGTCGCACGCGCTGAGAGGATCTTGTACGGCAGCTTTTAAAACTCACTCGAAGCTTCATCTTTTATTCGCCGGGAGTCCATATATTCTACGGTAAATTTGTTCAAACCAGTCCGTCCCGCGACTGGTTTCTTCATCGGGAGTCGAGCGAAGTTGCGACATTTTTAGTTCTGTTCGGGGAAAAAAGTCTGGAGACATAATTGACATTGTTTCTTTTTTATCTTTAAATTATCATCAATCATGTTACTCGTTGTGAATGTGTTTGCGTGCTGCGGGATAGTACGGAAATTGTGTGAAGTGAGTATCAGTGTCCCTGGGGAATGAGGGGAAAAAGTGGAAAAATTCGGGAAGCAGAGTTACCTCGTTGGGGAACGAAAGTTACGTATCGAAGTGTGTTCGTGATTCTTTCAAAACTCGAGGCATCGCCATTTTCTGGCGACTGTTTACGTCTTTGCGCGAAGTAACGATATTTTATAGTTACACGAGTGACTTGTGTCTAGTGTCCTGTTGGAAGTATTTTTGGGACCTGGGAATAGGATATATTCCTGGAATCCCTCCATTGTTCCGTCCAGAAGTGACGGTTGGGCGAGCATCAGGGACAGTTTTGATCTATTCCCGAGTAAACTAGTGTATAACGTCAATAATTAGTGCTAACACGGCTATATCAAATGCGGATGAGCCATTCGAAGATGCTCCTGTATTCAGGCAGCAATGAAAGTATCCTTGGTTACTTCAGCCTGAGAGGTAGGTGGTAGAACGTACGATTTCCTCGTTCAGAAAGGTTGTTGTGTCTGTCGAGTCGGGAGCATTGTTGATTTTCGTGGAATGGATTATGAGAAAAAAATTGTTTTCGGCAGCTGGTCTCTTGTTCTCTTATAAACTTAATAGCGTCTCGCGATGACATCCTGACATGTCGACTTCTCAACGTAATCATGGAGGAACGGTCCCTGGTTACTTTGCTACAATGTATTGTTCGTGTGTGACTCATAACGTCATCGGCACTCGTTCGGTAACACATTCGTTTACGCTCCAGGAATACGAAATTCAAAATTGCTACGTTCCGCCTGTCGCTTTCTTCGAAATTCTCCGTGTCTCTAGTCACCTTAAGAAACAGTTCTACAGTCGGTAACGGTAACTCCTTGGCAAAGATAACTGCGAAACTCTTGCTGCACAGTTTTTCAGTAGTTTTATTTTCTCCTCGAAGTTTGAATTACTCGAGACAAGGAAACGAATGAAATTATAACAGAAGCAGGGAATCGGATGACTGCTGGAATGGATGCGTTCAGTTGCCAGGGCCAGGAAATCCGAGGTCAGCGACTTGGGAAATTTGACTCGGCTTTACTTGCGTCACGTTGCAACGTACTTTATGTGTGTCGACTCGTTACTCTTCCTTTGCGCAAGACGCTTGACGCAAAATTTCCTCTGTTGCGCGAATTTTCGACTACGGCAATGTTCGCTGTGTAGCAAAATGGTGGAGATGGAAATTGTGAATTAAACTTCTTGTGTACGGTATGTATACGGTCTCTCGGGTTCTGTTTGTTGTTATTTACTATGGGGCTGTAGGTACGAATTGGATAATTGTTTCAGAACGAACTCGGACTGTTTGCATTAGTTTTCGAGATGCTACCCTTAGGAGTTATGCGAAACATACTATAGGGAACTATCTTGCAAAGTGTATTACGCGTACGGCTGAGCAAAGTGGACGCGTGTCTCTTGGATCCCACACAGACGCGAGCCGCGAAGGAATGTTACGCCTTCGCTTCCACTTGAATCACTTGAATTTATTCAATGAGTTTTATTCAATGACGCTCGTATGTGTGCGATAGAGAAAGGGAGACAAAAATAACAGAGACTACCGCTCCAGACCTTATTAGTCTGTTCTGCAGTTTATGAAATTGTTCACTTTATTTTGGGGTGCCCGTGGCGCCAGTATTGCTCCTATTATCAGCTTATCAACTCGAAATTCTATGGACTCTGTGAAAATACACTCTCGCGTACGTTGACCATATTTAGGATAATTATTCATATGGACACTTGTTTCTCCTTTCGTTAATGATTCTCAGTGTCTGACTGTAATGCGTTTCAAGTCTAACAGAGAAATTTTCAAAAATCCACAAACATGAAATACAATAGCAAGCTTTTAAGATTTAAGGTAATTTTGTTAATTATTTAATTGAATTAACCAGCGCGAGTTTCCCACTAGGGAAAGATAACGATCTGCAATAGTTACGTTCATAGGCCACGAGTAGCGCTAGTATGCAGTGCCATCTAGTTCTAAATCGTTTCAACTAAGACCCTTCAGTTTTTAATTTGGCAGTCTAGATCACCGATCCTTCTCATTCGTAGCGTCCTTAATCGATTTGATATGAACGTTCGGAGATGTTTTAATAAATTGTTACGTTGAGAAGGAACTATGTATTTTTTATAAACATGTCCTGGCGTTACTATTACGAGAGACTTTGAAATCCTGGGTCTTGCCTCTCCTCACTTTGACTTTCTTTGTCCTGGAGATTCTCTTGGGACTCTCAAGGTCTATCGAAGATAAGAGTTAGTCGAGGTCGTGCTCACCGAGTCCAAGCTTGTGTAGGTTGCCGTGGCTGGTGCTACGTGACACAGAAGGATAGGACACGAGCACGAAGCAGAAGCCAGGAGATATCCAAGCAGTAGGTTCGCGTAGGCTCAAACGAAGGGGAGAGATGTCCAGGCAATTAGTGCGAAACTGGTTTTCTCGGCAAATGGACTGATGATAAGCTGCGCCAACAACGAGCGCTACGCCCCACGGGCTTTGTTGGCTCTCGGCACTGCGACGCTGCGCGACGCCCTGTGATCATTTCAATATCATTTATGCAAGCTCGCTTATTTCCTGTCTTCGGTACGTTTCGAATTTATCTATTATTTAATTATCATCGCAATTTCCACTTACAGACTCTCAAGATGTCGACCTGGACGCCATCCTCGGCGAACTCTGCGCCCTCGAGAGACGCTGCGACGGCGACATCGCTGCTACACCGGCTCCAGATTCACAGAGGCAGGGGAGACCCAACAGCACCAGGATCAATCCTGGAGACAGTACGGATATTGGAAAGAATGAAGGTTTAAAAATTTCTTTTTTATTGGGCAATTGCCTGGACTTATTCATTGGAAGGAAATTTCATAACAATTGCTATTTTAATAATTGTCTCAGGCATGCGTACGGACAGTCCAGATAATGACAGCGCATTTTCCGACACGGTGTCGATGCTCTCTAGCGAGAGTTCAGCGAGCAGCAGTGGTTCGGGACATAAACCACCTCAGACCGCCATGCACACAACTCCTCAGCAACAGCCCCACCAGCTCATGGGTGAGTCGTCAGGTTTCTGGTATTGTATATGATAATCGGAGGGAGTCATACGAATCATCACATCCGGTTATCGTAGACGCGGCTAGCAGAGCTAAGGCAGAGAAGATTCGATTGGCGCTGGAGAAGATGCGCGAGGCAAGCGTGCAGAAGCTCTTCATCAAGGCCTTCACCCTCGACGGCAGTGGGAAGAGTCTGCTCGTAGACGAAGGCATGAGCGTCGCTCACGTCTCCAGACTCCTGGCTGACAAGAATCACGTGCCAATGGATCCCAAGTGGGCCGTCGTCGAGCACCTGCCCGATCTGTTCATGGGTAAATATTGTAATAGACTCATTCAAGGTATCCGAAGGGCGCACCTAAATTGTCACTTCTTGCAGAGAGGGTATACGAGGATCACGAACTCCTAGTGGAGAATCTTCTGCTGTGGACAAGGGATTCGAAGAACAAGTTGCTATTCGTAGAGAGACCGGACAAGACCCATTTGTTCCTTACACCAGAGAGATTCTTATTGGGACCGTCGGATAGGAGCAGTAGCGAGTACGATGATCACTCCAGGAATATCCTCCTGGAGGAATTTTTTTCTAGCAGTAACGTGGGAGTGCCCGAGGTAAATTGGAGCACTTTTTGGTAGAATCGATCAGTATTTTCTTTTTTTCTTCGTGGGAATCTAGCCAACAGTTTTATCGTAACGAGTTGGCTCGCCTTCTGGAGGTTATTCATTCTGATCGGCTCTGATTATTCCAGGTCGAAGGACCCCTGTACCTGAAGTCCGACAGCAAGAAAGGCTGGAAGAGATATCACTTCATTTTACGTGCCTCCGGTCTTTACTATTGGCCAAAAGAAAAAGCCAGGACTGCCAGAGACCTCGTGTGTCTCGCAACATTTGACGTCAATCAGGTTTACTATGGCATCGGCTGGAAGAAGAAATATAAGGCGCCGACGGACTTCTGTTTTGCGGTGAAGCATCCTAGACTCCAACAGCCCAAATCCACGAAATATATAAAGTTCCTCTGCGCCGAGGATAACGCGGCACTTGAACGGTGGATGGTCGGTATCAGGGTTGCCAAATATGGTAGACAGCTGATGGAGAATTACAGGACCCTGGTGGATGAGCTGGCCCAGGAAGATCTGGACCTTTTGGCCCATGCCAGGTCGTGCTCTGTCAGCTCCATTGCTGTACCGCCAAATCAGATGCAGTACAATACTACCAATGACAATGCCAGACAGTTCACTGAAAACTCAAGACACAATACTAATGATACTAGACAGTACGACGCACAGAGACAGAGTTATAATTCCGAGCAACGTCAGAGTTATACTAACGACGGGAGATTGAGTAGGGCGAGCAGCTCCAGCTCCAGCGGATGTTTATCCGACGGGGCACCTAGTAGTTGTGAGGTAATCAATACTTTTAAGCCATTTTTTTGGGTTCTCCTTTGATTAGGAATTGTGTAAGAGTAATTAATTTTATTGATTACAGGTAGCCTTCGAGTGTGGTGAATTCCCTACAGGAACTATCAAGAGGAAACCCTCAATGAATCCGAAACTACCTCTGACGTCCATCACTAGACAGCTTAAAGAAGTCGGTGAGACTGTTAGGGATGAACCAGACACTTGTCCCAGTCCTACGAGCTCAGGATCAGGTACACTCACTAGGAGGCACAGTAGGAGAAGAAGTGGTACCGATTCCGACGGCTCCGGAACTTTAAAAAGACATCATAGGTCTGGAAATGGGACACCAGTCAGTCCTGTGCCCCCTGGTACACCCGTTAGGGAAAGAGCCAGTCCCATGGGATACACTCGGACAGACAGTCAGGAATCTAAAACACCTACCAGTCCCATACAACCCTGTATGGTAAGATTTTTGAAGAGCATAATTTGTACTTTTCATCTCATCAGGTTGTTTCGTATAGATTCTGGAAAATCACTATTTTCTTTGTCTGCAGATGGACTCGATAACTTCTCTGCCGCCGCCACCATCGCCGCCGAGAGTAGCCGACGAAGCAGAATCAGACAACGAGCCACTGCCACCACCTCCACCGGAAATGTTCAGATCCAATTTATCTTTGGATTCACTCCCACCTCCACCAGCTCCTGGCGAACTTCCTGTCTGCAACACGCCGGAACTCACTGGTTCCTCTTTGAGTCTGGCCTCGCTTCCACCGCCTCCTAGTCCTCTGGTGGGCGAGACAGGAACCATAAGACGTGCCAGACCTAAACAATCGACGCCTACGAATTCTCTCTCTCCAGATAGCACACCCACGCACACACCTCGCGCCTCGATTAATCAAATTTACGCGAGTACAAATTCAAACGTGAATCAAAACGGTTCACCTCAGAATAATCAAAGTTACATCACCGGAGGCGTCGCAAATTCATCGCCCCAAAATTCCTATTCGGGCTCAAATGCCAGTACACCGACTTACACGCCGAGTTCACCGAGTTTCGCTTCACCTCCACCCTTCGTCCCACCTCCAGCCTATGGATCCCAGCAACAAACTCCTTCACTCACCAGACAAAATTCAAAGATCGAGTCCATCTACGGTGGCCTTCATGGGGTTCAACCTATCAGGCCTAATCCAAACATGGACACGGTCAGAAGAAGTGCCATGAAACAAGGATCCGGACACTACGCTTCTCCACCTTATCTAGCAGAATTAAAAGCAGCCTCCAGTCCCCAGCCGCAGAGGAGAGTGACTATCCAGGAGCCACCCATGTCACCGAAGTCAAAGACCAGTACCGGAAAGAAGATCTCATTCAATCTACCGCCTCAACAGGAGCCAGGAAGCCCAGCTCTGCCACAGAGAAAACCAATGCCACCTAGACGATCGGATAGCACGAGGTTGACTTCACCGAAGAAGCTAGCAGCATCCGATCAGGCACCACCGGGTGACTTTCTCAAGGATCTTCAGAGAGTGATGAGGAAGAAATGGCAAGTCGCCCAGAAGTGTAAACTGGATTCCACAACGACGCCTCACGAGGTTCTTGGTTTTCGCGACCCACCTCCAGCCATTGCTGACTACAGAGAAACTAATGTTTCCAACTGGGTCCAGGAACATTACGGTGCCGACAATCTCTATGAAAATGTTTACACGACTGACCCAAATGCACCGGTAGAGTATGCCTCCAGTCCAGCTCGTCAGCCCACAGTCAGATTTGCTGATGAGAACAGAAGCAACAACATTGCCACAGCTATTGCAAGTAAGAGGCGACCACCACCGCCACCTCCCAAGAGGGCAGAAACTACTCACTTAACTAGCAGGGCGATGCACTGACAATAGCAGATGATCCAGCCTCGTCCTGAGAGGCGTTGGTACTGCTGTCTTTGCACCTGGTGGAAGAACTGAGACACAGACATTTGTAATACTCCTCGAACTCTCGACTCCTTTTCAAATACGTGCACCTTGTATGTTTCATCTCGAAAATGAAGTGGAGTCTGACGCCATTATACAATTTAAATTAAATAACGTTTACTTGAATATCTCATAAATTTTCCGGTTCAGGATTTACAATCAGTTACCGTACGAATTCACTAGGGGAATAGACGAACAAACAAAGAAAAAAACGAACGCATAACGAAGCGTCGCGACGCGGCAACCGTCATCGATTATTTAAAGACGTGTTAGCTCAGTTTGACGAAACAAATGGCCGCTCCAAATAAACCGAAGTCATATCGATTTTTAATGGTACAAGTGTAAGACTCGACAAGTGTAACAAATGTTATCGCGTGGCTAATGATATAATTAATGCTAATATAAAAATAGACGTGCATAAATTTAAGATGACGGAGTCGAGAGAAGCAACGAGTGAGAATCTAGTTGGTAAGAAACACTGCCGCACACGTTAAGGATGTGATATAAAGCGTTAAGCCAGCTTAATTAATTGCAATTTGAATTAATTGCCAAATCCAATACACATTTCGCATTGAAACAAACAGAGGTATATGTATACAAGCGGGCACAAAAAGGGAGACATGAGATACGCCTATGGGGAGTAACGTATATGTATACATAACTGTACTGCAGTACGTGAATAGGCGCTACGAATGAATTGGACGAATTTTTGGAATCAAACAAGTATGGGAATGATTTTCGCAGTCGCATCATCACTCAGTACAATTACGAAATCAACTATACATACAAGTATACTATCAAGCTGTGGATTGGTAAGCCTGCTAATTTTTGCAAATTTTCTAACACTTAAAGAAGAAAGAAACTTTTTTGTAATCAAGGTGCTTTATATACGACATATACACTGTGACTACGTATAATGATTGTAATATTAATATATATATATTATATATATATATGTATACATACATATTATTAACATTATATTATATATCTACAGTTTATACTCGACGATGTGGACACGATAATAGGATACAGCTCGAACCTCTATGTGTTATTTGAGTCTATTATATTTTTATTTTCTTGTAGAATTTTTCTCTTTCTTTTTTTTTCTTGTATTTTTTTCATCCGGTTTATTTCTTTTGTTTTTCATTTTCTTACGTCATCGGTAGCGCGTCGTCACGACACAGCATACTCTGCTACCTATTTTGTCGTTCACTCTGCAGCACACTTCTATAACTGACAATGAGGGATCTCGTTTATGCCATTTTTTGATAACGATATACATTTAATAAGACGAAGGAAGCGTAAAGTATGTAAGTTGATTGATTTATGGAAAAAAAGAAAATCGTAAATCATTAAGATAAACGGCTGATCTAGACGCGCGATCTTATCGATACAATTCTTGTGTCGGTGGATCATAGATTTTTTTTTCAGTTATCTTCGTTTACCCTAAATGTACGCTCATCGCCAAAACGTGGTTAATGCTCGGCATGTAGTTGCGTCGATTTTTGAGTGAAAATTCATTGAGTCTTTTACGAAATTTTCATACGGATGACGGTTTCCACTTTCCTTCTCCCTTCATTACACTTTGCCCAGTTTAAAGGGGGCTAGAGAGGCTTTTGACAAATGACGCAAAAACGTACTCAGACGGAAAACGGCTAATGTACTTTTCTCTTTGGTTCCGGACTTTCGCTATGAGACGTCTGATTTTTTATTTTAATTTTTTTTTGGAAATTTGTTCATTACGTTAAAACAAGAAAATGCGAACTTGGCTGAAATAGTATCAATGAAATTAATTTATGTCAAGGATTTGATTAATTTTTTTTATAGGCGCTACAGTGCTCGTCATATAGAATTGAACGAATGGAAATTTGAGATTCACCCGTACTTCGCAGTAAATTCGCAGATCATCAGAAACGATACAAATTTTACAAAAAATCATCCCTCTATTTTGCGCAACGAGCAAAGTTTGAAAATACGATAACTTTATGTTTCGGACAAATTTTTGTCGCGATTTCGACTAAAACGTGAAATTAGTGACGAGTGTCCTGGTTGCCACTGCTGGACCTCATTATTCTTCCGGAGGAATAAATTGATCGCGATGAATTAAGCTAATTATTGAAGCGAGCCGATAAAATGGCCGCTAAATTAAAAAGAGATTTATGAAGGGAGCTAATTGGAAAATTGTAGGAATAATTTTAGTATATTGCTAATTATTGTCGGATCGAGAATAAATTAATTGATCTCCCTCCCTCCCTCGACAATCCCTTCGTCCTTTATCTCCCGTCAAATCCACTCCAACGCCCGAACGATTTAGAGAAGAAATTATCTAGGGAGTTTAAGTAAATTATTGAATATTGAGGCACTGAAGATGGATTAGAAAGTTGAGAATTGAAAAATTTTTAAATTAAGAAAAATTAAAAAAAAATTAAATTTCGCTCCCTAGTGGCTTGGGGAGCCTAGTGCAATTGGCCAATTCTAATATAGTAATTGGAAATTCATGAATATTCGAAGATGATAGGGGAAGATATTTTTATTATACCGTACCTTTTAACTTTCTATCATTTAAGTTGTACGTATGTTTATGTAAATATTGTAACGAATGGTACTACGAAGAAAAATTATTATTGAAGAATATTGCGATTGATTAATGTAAACGTAGGCAGACGCGCGCGCGCATGCGCGTCCACACGGGGCGCACACACACAGAGACCAAAACGCAACACATACTATTTATGAATGATAAGAAGATTGAAGATTAGTAGCTGAAAATATTGTTTGTCACAATTTTCAAAAAATTGCCATTAAGCTTAATTTCCATTTTCCAACCATTTATCAGCCAGTAGTCAAAACTAGGCCGAATCGTTCGCTTGAGGCTTTTTTACGAGTTCTTATTTGACCGTTTTTCGATACTTTCATACGTTTTATCGAAAACTAGCTTTTACAAGTTCTTTCAACTATGCAAGCATGTTAGACGTTAGAATTGTGACAATACCATTATTTTGGAGACTCAACGCCAGTTGTTTAGGTACGATACAGAAAGAAGAATGCGCAGCAGTTGAAATATTATAGGTATTATATTCATGTTTTTATGTAAATAAATTTTTGGTATATTTCAATGATCAATCGTTTCATTTCCTGCATTCCCACATTCATCGGGGTTTTTACTGCCACATACATTGTGACTGGATTTTTCGATTCACGGTCTCAAGGCGACTCCGGCTACCGATACCGAAAACATTCTTTCTTTCCGGCTTCCTTCGATTTCACCACCCTGCACTGAAGCTGCGCTCTCGGGTTGATTCGTATAGGTATGCCAATGCTCTCAGAAGGTTTGATATCGTTTAGTTGAGGTCGAGATCCTCGAATCTGCTGTGGGGAGATAGTCTCGACGTACCGAGTTGCCCGGCAGAGAACAGTACCCGACGGAGACGTCTCCACGGACCGACGGAAGCCCGGGTGAGATACCGGCGCCCCGTTGGAGATTGGCAAAGGGCTGTAGAGCGGCCGCAGATACAGTTTTGATATGGTTCAGGACAGGGAAGGAACTTCCTAACGCGAGTTAACAAAGTAGTAGCCGCTTCGTCTGATAGATGGCAGCATTGTCGACAAACATGAATGACTAGTCTACTTATCTTCCGTCAACGATTCGGCAATAGTTAATCTTCTTTATCCTCGATCGGTAAAACATCTTTACCATCAAAGTGTTACGAATCCTCCGTGTCTAGGGGGCCGCTAAGAAACTGAAACAGAAATCCGCGTGTTCTTTTCAGAAAAAATATTGGTTCCATTACCATCGATCAGAATCTTTGATACCATAAGTCGGTTGTTTCGTTCCGACAATTGGTTCACCGACTGATACAGGTATCAGTGCATGCAGCGTCATTGGTTTCATGCAGTAAGACAAAATTTCGGAAGACTAAAGCTTTCCAAAGATTAATTTGAGGTACCAAACGTCACAGGCACAGCTAATCAATCAATGTCCGTGATAGTAGATACTGGTCCAGCATCATCCTATAAGCTAAGTTTAGCGAGTTAGTAGTTCCAGGTCCCAGCGAGGAGTTTGACGTTACTTTTCTCTGAGGGTGCCAAGGTGCCTTTTTTTGAGGGAAAATAAAGTGTGCCATAAGACCTCGGTCTGGATGCTGTTCGTTTAAAGGCATTTAGGTATAAGGTAGATGCTAGGTACTACGAGGTATGTATACATACATAATACCGTGTCGCAAGGGTAGCCAGAGGTATGTACGCTTCTAGCCATAAAGCGCCTTAATAAAATGCGTTCGTTTCTAATACAACTACGATAGTCCCAGCTGGTTTCCTTGCCTTTTTTTCGTCCTCGACACCCAGAACCATCGTACCACCCCCTAGGTACATCTCGTATGGGGGGTGGGTTGGCACACATAAACTTTCACTAGATTGAATTTTCTAGCAACGGCCAAAGGCGGTGCGGGTGCCTTTTGTTCAGGCACCCCTTCCAATTCCAACGCTTACGCATTACGCATTACGCGCGAGACGCACCAGCCGTATAAAACCGCGAGGGAAATGCTCCATTTCATCCGCATTGTCGACACTTTGGCTTTTCCTTCCGGTCCCACCGCCCATTGTCCTCGGCACCTAAAATATTGCCCCCGTTGAGAAATACTCATTCGAACCGTGTACCGGACCGGGTCGGATGGGCGTTTCGGCCGATTCTTGTAAATTCTGCGTTAAAGTGAAAAAAGAAAGAAACGAAATAAAACATTCCAAGGTGGCTATTACTATCCGGACGTTGTCTCGAATCTGACAACGAGATGGAATCCGGTGGCATTAGATTCTTGCGTTTTTCTCAGGGCGAAAGGTCAATTCGGTGGTGTAAGTGCGGTCGATCGCGAACGTTTTCTCGCATGGGTTTATCGCCGGTCGGCCAATGAGAATTTGGGTCCAGGGGAATCGAAAGAGCGCGAGCCTCCCGCAGCTTCGAGAGTGCGAGAGAGAAGACGAGCTGGTTAGTAACCAGCTGGGGAGAGAGCGACGCTGGGAAAATTGGTACGGCGCACGGCGTCGGCTATGGCCCTAGTTTTACAGTTTCGTTTTACGACTCGCCGCTGTCGTGTGTTCGCCGTCGCCTTTACGTTCTTCGCCCTTCGCGCCCTCTACGGCTTTTCCCCTTCGGCTCCCTTACCCTCCTCTTGCTTTATTCCCCCTGCGCCCCCTGCTCCTCTCCACGTGGGATCCACTCTCACTCTCGTTCCACATTCACTCACCCACTCGCTCTTACACTTTGGGATCATCCTGATATTCCTTCTGCATCCCCTTCAGTCTTTTCGTCACGGTCGAACAGGAAATTTCTGTAAATTTCTCTGCTTTTACGTTTCATTCCTCTTCGGATAAATAATCAGCGGCTTTGTAACCACGGGTAAAATTATAACGAAGGAACTTTTTTTAATATGGATTTTCAATGATTACCTCGCAAAGTATCGTCCTTTCGTATTACGACTCAAAGGAAAAGTAGTTAACGGGTTAAAGCCGCTGTTGCTAGAATCGAACGTTTCTGCGGATGTACATAGAAGAAGGAGACAAAGAAGCGACGCTAAGACCAGTCAGGTTTGGTCGCGGCTGTACGAGCCGAGCAGTAGGTATTGGTGGATTTCGCAAAAATAATAATTATTTAAAAGGTCAGTCGAGCCGGAGCACTCGAGGAGTCATGAGCGTCTGACTGGTCTGCTTTCCTGGAACGGGGGCGTAAATCACTATTTTATTACGGATAATTTTACGAGGCGAACGCCGTCCGGTGCCGCTGATGGCGGCTACCTTAAACTTGTAATCGAGAGCCGCTCGCGAAATGCGGACGAGCCTAGCTACGGTCGTTAGCGAATTAGCAAAACGAGCCATCGTCGGCAAACATTCTCCGAGCTCTTTCCTCGGGCTGGTCCACCGGGTCTGATCCACGTGATCCTCTTCCTGAACCTGGACCGTCGAACCAGACCAATGAGAGTTCACGAACAAAGGAAAATCCACAGATTGCCAGAAGTACCACTACAGTGACGTAGGTAAGTTCGTGGGAATTTAGACAGAAAATCCCTAGACGGTACATAAGCCAATGGAAGGACGTCGAGAGTCCAAGAATCCAAGAGGAGTAAACGGCGATCCCTTAGCATCATGTCGGAACCCTTTTCGAAAGCGTTTCCGGGTTAATTGGCTCTAATTGCTCCTCGAGCAAGGAAAACGATTATGAAACTGTCGTCGCGAGTCGCCAGTAATTTGTACTCGAGTAATCTTCCTTGTACCACCCACCCCTCCTCGCTCCCCTCCCTCCCTTCTCCACCCTTCCTTTCAGTAACTTCAGCAGTCTCTGTCTTCCATTGTCAGTCTTTTCTCACGTCTTGGACCTCCATGTCGCTCACTCGAGATATGGACCACAGCATCCTTTTTTTTGACCCCAAAGACACTTTCGAACCGTTTGACCTCGTGATAGTCTTCCTCGCAGATGAGAATTATCAAAATAATTTGAACCTCGTAATTAATAGGTGACACGAGCCACATTACCATGAGAGGAATCCGACATGGTCCAGGAGTCCTTCCAGCAGCTTCAATTTCGTCCCAGCTATTAACTCTGACAATGAGTCTCGCCTACGCTATAATTATCCTTCAGCAGAATATCCCAGATGAATTCCGGAGATTTCTGACCGGTCCGAAAATTCGTCGAATTTTCGGAAAATCTCCAAGGATATTCGCAAGACCGCCAAAGAGATTGACAATTGGGACTCGGTGGACGTTCAGCGCGTCCAAAGGTGTCCGATGCGAGATTGCAGAATCTTTGGTCAGGATCATCCATCCTCCGCTCCCCTCGTCCAATGCAACAGACTATTAATTTCTGTCTGCTCAGTTTCCGCGTAGCCATCAGCATCCTTTCCGCGAACAGATCTTCGATCCGTTCTTAAGATCCCGAGGTCGGCATCGCAACCTCAGACCCTGGTCCAGCTGACAGTCAACACTAACAATACCTAATTTGATATGGTATTTAGGGTGGAGGTGGGTAGAATGGGGGTTAGGAGGTGGGACCGAAGATGCTGTAAAACAAACACTTTCCCTGTCCGATGGGATGCTGGACCATCTTCTGGTGGGGTGGCCCTAGCCTTGGCGCCCTCCTGCTGATTTTTAATCTGACGCCGGTGCCTGCGGCTCAACGGACATTCCGAACGACCGCAAAAATGTTGGTCAGTATGTGAGAATCGTCCCTCGCATTCGTGAACTCGATTCCGGATTTGCCACGGGATTCTGCGGACCGGGTGGGGACTGACCGGTGCACCCATCTTCGTCGCACTAGACTCTTGTGGTCCGTGGGATCCATATCCTTGTCCTTGTCCTTATACTTTGACTTATATACAGATATACACACGTATAGGAAGGCTTTTCTCGTACGTCGACCCCTGCGGATTTACCTCACTCCGTTCATTCTTCTATGAACTAACCTTTACCCTCGGGTCCAACTGTAACTATAACGAGGGAATGTTTCTAACTGTAATGCAGTAAAAGGGGTAATGGGGTTGTCTCTTCCTCTTGAAGATGTTATCCGAGTCTATCTGTATCTTCCAGGCGCTGAGATTATGGCTGTTGTTCGTATTTTCCGAGTAAATAAAACTATAGGAGGAAATATTTTCCGGAGAAATTACGAATTATTAAGCGATGAGTGTCGCGAGCTTCGTCGAAGGTCGCCGAGCACCGAGCGGCTTGAGGACTGTTCCCACTGGACTTTATATCGGCGAGTTCTCACGGTCCAGCCGTGGAAGGCGGCGCAGGACTTTGTCATCGTCTTCGAAAATATGCTAATGTAATTTATTTCGCATTGAGACTCAGGATATATTATATATACCAAAAGGTGAATATTCGCTGTCTCTCTCCACCTTCCGCCGCGTTCGCCGATTCTGTCCTTCTTCTTCACGGCGTTTCGCAATGACCGCAGCGTCGCCTTACGCAACCATCGAAGTAGCAAAGGCCGGACGGGGACGTCGCGGCGGTCCTTCGCGGTTTCCACGAAAGCGACGCCTCGGTAAATGCCAAATTAATTAGTCGATTTCATATTTGCCTTTATGATCATTTCACGTCCGGACCACCCAATCGGCATGCTGCGATCAGGGACT